TGGGAGAATTTTCAATGTTAATGGAAAAGCTGTGGGATTTGGTTAAGATAGATGGTGTGCCAACAAGTAAAACTTCAGTTTTATTACTGTTAAGTTTGAGGAAATTGGAGGAGAACCAGGATCTAATCTCAATAAGACAGTCTGAGAGGGAGGTAGGTGGGAGGGATGAATTGGGTGGCCTGGATTCAACACCCAGTATGCTCACCTGTACTTCAGGCAGGTGAGCTACACTACACAGTTTAATTAGCTGTTGAATGCACCAGTCAGCTGATAAAATATTAAAACTAACAGGTGGTCTACACACACAAGTGGTACGAAATCAGGTTTGAAGTCAGACATTTTATTTCAGAAACTGAACAAACTTCTAGCGGTTAAGATTCCAGATTTTCACACAGGCAGCTGAGGTTTGACTCCCAGTATAGGAAAGGACAGTTTAATCATAGACTCACAGCTAACAGGACATCAGTCGTTTTCTCTTTTTCACGCATCCCTGTCATTTGTTTTGATTTGTTGCTCATACCGGCTCTGAGCTCTGGATAGCTTTTGCAACTCCTGTTAGTTTTTTTTTTTTTTAAATGTCCATGTTCAGCTGTGTCTGTGAGTGTGCACACAACTATTTGCCTGCACTGCTGCGCGTGTCACACATGCATGAAGAGGACTACTTGTAAATAGATATATGGGAGGTTGGCCAGCAATTTCAAGTATCTCATGTCTGAAACAGACTGAAAAATGTATTTTTCTTTTTTTAAACTGTGGCGCTTCAAACTTGTGTGTATTCCATCTCACCTGGGTGAATTCAGGCTGCCTGTCTGGTTTGGAGCCTTCGTCTCTGTAGCACCGGGCTATCTGAAAGTACCTGCCACAGAGGAGACAGAGACAGAAGACAGAGGTTGTTGGCCATTAACAGCAGGTTCTGACTCTAATGTGGCGGACTTCTAAAAATTCTGTTATGTGTGCAAAGCTGTCAGCAGTGGAAATCAGTCAGGTCTAAGTGCTTTATTTCAGTATGGGAGTGCAATCATCCTTTGGTTCTTCTCCCCGGTATATAGGCAGTAACATATAAGATTAATACCCCTAGGCTTTTTTCTCTTTTATCCAAGTACATGTTTCACACACAGAGTACGAATCTCCAGTATTTGCTCCATGCCACATTTTAGGCTGGTATAGCAAACTTGCTTTAACCCCCTAGGACCTGCGTCCACATATGCGGACATCATATTTTGGGTTATTTAGAACAAAATACTCAATTTCGCTCTACAAGGGCCTGATATCCACTTACGAGGACATTATACTGCTACTGTTCTATCGAAATTTTAAACGAATATCCTCATAAGTGGCTCTCAGTTTTCTTAGAAACAAAAATCAGGTTAAAAAACAAAACAAAACAACAACAACAACAACAACTGGTAATTGTTTGTTTTTACATTCATCAGGTCCCAATCAGCCCAAATATCAAAGAGAAATTAAAAATGCATGCCATGAAAGAGTTCGGGTCTTAGGAGGTTAAAATGGTTTCTTATTAGCTGATGGTGGTCAGAAGTTTGCAGACGCTCATCGTGGATGTAAATGTGACAGTAACTTTAAATAACTTCTTTGAACTGTTTTTTTCCTGGGTGGAATGATACATGCACTTTATGTACAGCAAACATCTTTAATAACAAATATAACTTGACTATTATTTCTTTAATGTCCCTTAGAATGCTTTGCCTCGACGAGACGCTTTGAGTAGCCGTCAACAAGCTTGTGGCATAATTCTCGATGGATATTTGACCACCACTTCTTGGTAGAATTTTCAGAGTTCATTTAAATTGATTGGTTTCCTGGTCCAAACAAATTTTCAACTAGGTTGAGGTTGGAGTATTGGGAAGATCGTTTCAACTGTCCAGCTGTGGATTTGTTGAAAAATTTGGAAGTAGTCCTCCTATATTATTCTCTCTATTTTGGGCAATTTA